TTTACACATACAAGTTATAAATGTGGTGTGTGAGATCTATGAGTAAAAGTAATGAAAGCTGGTAGAACTGACTCAGGATTAGTTTGGGGTTTGTTGAGGCAGGAGGGGATCATAGAGAAGGAATGTTTGCACTTTACATGCAAAGAACAATCCAGAAGAATGAATCTTTGAAGTCAATGGCTGTTGCTTTATATTGGCCACAGTTAAGCTCAAATGGTTGGTGCTTAAAAGAGATTACTTGTGGGGTTTGAAGGAGAGAAGAGTTTTGGAAGTGGAATTAGAGACCTCTGTGCAGCCTTTCCTGTGTTGGTAGAGTAATGTCAGCTTTGCTCAGTCTTCAGCCGTGTAATGTGTGACGGTCATGTGCCAGGGTACTTTACTTGCAGCCTGGTTTATCTCCAATTGCTGAGACAAGGAAAAATAAAGAAGTTGCTAGAATGTTTTAGTTCTTGTGTCGTAGACTTTTTCATGCCTCTTATTATGTCATAGTCTGTATTAGTATTTACTTACATGAAGTGTTTCCAGCCAAAGTGAAGTGGTGCCTGAATTATTGGTTCTAGAGAGGCACAGAGCAGTTCAGTGGCAAGGGGGTGGTTATTTTGTTGTGGCTTGTTTCGGAGCGGTGTTCATCAGCTGTGGATTTACCTGCCAAGTGACAAAAAGCAGCTTCTAACATTTGAGACGACTGCAGGAGCCACACTGCTACGGTAAAAATCCTACTGAAATACATTGATCCTGTACTCCAGTATCTGGCCCTGCACTCGCCCTGTTTTGAAAGGTACATGGTTGTAACCTGGGTAAGGACAATCTTGAGTGCAGCGCAGGCTGGGGTCTGCCCAAGGCGGGGAGCAGCTCTGTGGAAAGAAACCTGGGGGTGCTGGTGGACAACTCAGTAGGAGTGAACAGCATGCTGCTGTGACAAAGCAAGCATGCTGGGGTACATCAACAAGGGAATCACCAGCAGAGAGAAAGAAGCCATTATCCCACTCAACTGTGACCTTGTCAGGCCACCCTTGGAATATTGTGTTTAGTTTTGGCCCCCACTGTACAAAAATGATGTGGAGAGGCTGGAGAGGGTCCAGAGAAGGGCCACAAAGATCCTCCAAGCACTGGGAAGCCTGCCACGTGAGGAAAGGCTGAGAGAGCTGGGCTTGTTCAGCCCAGAGAAAAGAAGTTTTAGGGGAGACCTTATCACTATGTTCCAGTATTGAAAGGACGGCTACAAAGAAGATGGGGACTCCCTTTTTCCAAGGCGTCACATGGAAAGACCAGGAGTAATGTGTACAAGATACTCCTGGCCAGGTCCTGGTTGGATACTATAGGAAAAGTTTTCACAATGAGAACAATCAGCCACTGGAATAATCTTCTCAGGGAACTGGTGAACTGCCCAATATTGGACAGCCATAAGATTTGGCTGGGCGGCACGTTGGGACGTATAGTCTCGGTCATGCTTTGCCAGATGATCCTTGAGGTCCCTTCTGACCTGCTGATCCATGATTCTGTGGTAACCTTAGCAGCAAGCACAGGAGAATGTGGACGCATGTAAACATCTGACCTGCTGAAGAAAACTCTTTCTTTGGGATCTGTTCAATCCCAGACTCTTAAGGAGAAGCGAGTTACTTAATGACATCTTGTGTTTGCTTTCTGTCATTTACATGATGCAGTCTTCTCTAGAGACTTTTCTCTGCAGGGGTGTTCCAGAGGTGCTTCTGATGCTGAGGTTACCTTGATTTGTTCCCAGCCCAGCAGTTCTGAAATAGCAGTGTGGGAACAAGTTGTGTGGAATACATGGTGAGGTTTCCTGTAAGGGAAAGATAAACCTTGATCCTCCTGCTTGATCCTCAAGCAGTTGCCCTCATTTGGCAAGCTCTTGGAGCTAACCCTGTTTCCTACTGCAGTACATCTGGGTCACTGGAAAAATATGTGTTTAGGAGGAATGCACGAGGCAGGCAAACCAGCTTACATCATCCTCAGAGCTTGTCAGGCCACGACTGCTTCCTAGCTTGTCCTGAATCTTGTTCAGGGGAATCCAGGTAACTCGGATGTTATTTTCATCCAGTTCATGCTCACAGAGAAGAATGAGGGCTCTTGAAAATTGTATTCTGAGTGTTTATCAGATTTGCACCAGGAGGAGGAGGTAGGTCAGAACACTTGAATCATCTTTAATTCATGCAAGTAGGCATTTAGAGCACTTCTGGAGTGTCAGTTACTTGTGGCAGGAGTGGAATATGCAGCTACTTGTATAGCCTGCGCCATAAGCCCTGCCTTTATAGTTGCATGTTAAAGTTCTGGGTACATCAAATGGTACATCAAAACTTGTGTTTGTTGACTGGGGGAAAGGTAATTGTGTGACTTTATGTTCTAGATGATAATGTGTGATACACGTTTACAGCAATACCGTGCAAAACCCATGTGCTTTTTTCAGGGGTAGCATCAAAACTCACAGGCATTGGTGAGTGAGTGCAAAACCTCCATCTCTGCTGTTTTGGTGCCTTAAGTTTTTTGTGCTTGTGTTATGTTATGCATTGAATTAGTCCTATTTCCAACAGAACATAAAAATAAAAATGGAGGAGAGAGAAGCAAAGCAAAGGTGGTATGGACTAATAGAGTTCTGTAATTCTCAAAACTCACTGTTGTAAAGTAATGCAGAGAGGTTGTAATGATCAGATGTATGACTGTTTTACATGTCTCCCTTTGCTTTTACTATGAAAGGAAAATGAAACCACTATAACTCCATTTCTACTCGTTTTTCTCTCTAATCTTTAATGTAAATCTTTTTCATACATGGAACATGAACCTTTGAATGAAGTAAATTGACCTCAGTAACAGAGTGCTCTGTGCAGTGACTTGTTGCCAGTAAGACTTTCCCATCCTCCGAGAGGCAAGCTTTCAACATAAGCATCAGGTTGTATCTACACTGGATCAAACAGAATTCATATTCATGAGACTGTCTTCTCTCTTGGTGTACAGGTTGCCTTAGCAGACATAAGTTAACTTTGATTTTTCAGGACATTGGTTTTCTGTATTTTATAATTAATACCTTGAAAGCTCTGACCTAAGAAGAGGTGGTGGTGGGTTTTTATTGGCTAGAAGAGTCAGGGAAAGAAGAACTTCTTGCTGCAGGAGGGAGAGTGCAAGAGAACTGCATACGTGCATTTTAGCATACATTTGCACATCTGTGGAGTTCCAGAGGCATCCAGTATTCCCTCTGCACTGCTGATAGTTGTCCTTCCTCAGCCATTTCAAAAAGTTTGCTCTTCAGCCTTGTCCCCAGATTCCTTCATGTTGTTACCTAGCTCCTGGAATGGCACTGGAAGAGGCAGCAGCATAGGCAGGGTTTTGGAGGCTGCTGTTCCTTGTCTGTGTTGCAGAAGTACCATAAGAACATATATAAGTTAGTGGACCATTGTCATTTGTTTAGTACTGGTGCTATTACCAGAGTCATTTAAGCTATGATGTTAAAAAAGAGCATCTTTCTGTAGGAAAGAGTGATGTAGGCAGAGCTTTGCAAGGGGATTTGGCCTATTAGGAAGTATTGAAAAGAGCTATTAAAATGTCCTGAAAATACAAATAATGGTGAACAGACATCTTGAATTCTGAGTCTTTAACAACACACAGAACCAGCAGTTGTTTGCATATTGTCTATTCAAGGCATGTATTTTTCTGCATGTTACCATGTCTTTACTCGCTGGAGACTGCTGCTCTTTGCTGAGGCAGCACAGAGGTGAGTAAGGAAAACAAGAGCACTGTGAGAGTAACGCACCACACTCCACACTTGAAGTGACCTTTTAAAGTCACAGTAATGTTGTTAAATTGCTATAGCTAAATGAGGTTTGGTATTAAGATACCAGCCAACGGATCTGCTAGCAAGGGGCTCCACTTGAAGACCTGGGAGTTCTGTACTGTTTCCATCCATGTAAAGTGTCTATGTATTGTCTTCCTCTACAGAAAGATCTAGCTGTTAATACAGCAAGTGCAGGAGAGGTTACTTCTGATTAATTCACCTAGGTTTCAAAAGTAAGATTTCAGGTTGATGCAGTTAATTATACCCACCCCCCACCACCCCTCAGCATAGATGTAGTCACAGTCCTGATGAGATTTGCACAGAAGACTGCATTAAAATATCAGAAGTATTTTTAAGACCTGTTTTACTGCTCAGAGTTCCCAGTTCCACAGTTAGGCAATGTGATTATGGTACTTTGTCATTTAATTCCTGTTTGTTCTTTCTTTCCTTTGCTGACGTATTCTGTAACAAAGTACCTTATAATAAAGCTACTTTTGTTGTTCCTCTGTGTGAAGTTCACATGGACCTCTAACCTGATCCTTGGTATCAAAATTGATACTCAAGTCTTCGGCTTGTTCTGTTTTGCCATGACTGTTTGTACGTTTAAGTTAGAGATAACTGGGACATGAAAATATGCATGAACAGAATAGGTAAAAATGGTAAGACTGGCTTATGCTCTATGAATGATTAGTATGTATTTTTAATGCCTTAATAGTTAGGAATTCAGTAAGATCAAAGTAACAGTTCTGAAAGATGCAGGGGTTTTAAAGTTTATGTGTGTGTGCATAGTTGTTGAGGAGTGAGTTTGGTGTCTTTAAATTTGCACTTGTTGGATTCTGCTGGCTAAGGGACTGACGAGTTAATGGATTGCTTTAAATAATGATGCCAATGTCAGCTTGAAATATCTCCGAATGAAAATACTGAGCAGAATAAGTATACCCTTGTCCCTGTTTGTAATCAGAAAATGCCTCGTGTTGGAGACCGTATTCATTAATGTGACCTTAAACTTATGTTTGGCTTAAGTATAGTGCACAAATGCAAAGCCTGAAGGAAAAAACAGTTTGGTGGCAGTTCACGCTCCCACTAAAGACATGTACTTAAAATGTCCACAGCTTTCTCATCCCTGTTGGTTTCTTTGAGTGCTTTAATTGTACTTCATGCTTCAAATCTATTGCTGATTCTCTTTTTCTTTTTTCCCTTCTCTGTTTTCTTTCAGAAAGATGAGGTGTACCTCAACCTGGTGCTGGACTATGTTCCTGAAACAGTATACAGAGTTGCCAGACATTATAGTCGGGCCAAACAGACACTCCCTATGATTTACGTCAAGGTAGGTAACTGATAGTTGTCGTTAAGTGAAGAAGAATATCATAGGAATAAACTCTGTGGATACCTCTTTCCTGACATAGTTTTCTCACATTTTTAGGAGCATATACATCATGAGGCAAGTTAAAAAAAAGATACTGGAATGATTGTTATGACAGAGGAAAGATAGGAGAGGCTTCAAGCACTCTCAAAGTCTTGGAGTGGGTGGGGGAAGCTGAGTGTGAGAGGAGTTCTGGGCTTTTAAAGTACCTTGGAGACTGACACCAGCCAGATGAGCACCTTCAGTTTCCTGAGGAGATGAAGACACAGTAGTACAAAGGTCAGGAACTGGAAGAGGTTGTCAGGAAGAATAATGTCCTCTTATCTGTTGTATTACCCTTTTCCTGGCCTACGAGTAAGAGTTCATGTGCTTCTGTTGGGGGCATGAAGGTCATAGTTTTGTCCCCATTTGGAGCTTGTATGCACAGTGTAGCCTCAAAACCTCACTTAAGTTGTCTGTGTCTTTTGTTGTCTTTTACAAGATAGTTAATGAATAAAATTTCCTTTTTCTCTGTAAAACTGGGACCTATTTGGGTCTTGTAGTTCCATTTCATACAGTGTGGTGACCACAATCCACATGTGAATGATCACATTTTCACATGGCATTAACTTGCTAACGTGGCACCAAAGTAAGACTAAATGGAAATAAGCCACAAATATTCCTGATTCTTATTGATTCCTCCCTAATCCTCTTTAAAAGCCTAATTCTTAACATGATAGTGGGGTTGAGAAAAGAACATGAATTTGATTGTAAGAAAATGAAAGTTATAGAGGTGAAAGCTACAAATAGTAATTATTCCAATAATGAAGTGTTGTGCCACAGCTGTATACGCATTAATTGTGAATGGCATGTTTCTGCAGTATCCACCTCTGGAGCCTGCTTTTAAGGTAGACTGAGAGAGTTGGGGCTGTTCAGCCTGGAGAAGAGAAGGATGCATGGTGACCTCATAGCAGCCTTCCAGTATCTGAACGGGGGCTATAGGGATGCTGGGGAGGAACTCTTCATTAGGGACTGTAGTGACAGGACAAGGGGTAATGGGCCCAAACTTAAACAGGGGAAGTTTAGATTGTATATAAGGAAGTTCTTTAGTATAAGGGTGGTGAGGCACTGGAATGGGCTGTCCAAGGAAGCTGTGAATGCTCCATCCCTGGCAGTGTTCAAGGGCAGGTTGGACAGAGCCTTGGGTGAGATGGTTTAGTGTGAGGTGTCCCTGTCCATGGCAGGGAGGTTGGAACTGAATGATCTTAAGGTCCTTTCCAACCCTAACTATTCTATGATTCTATAATACCATCCAGTTTCTACTGCAAGGTCACACTGTTTGGTCTGTTGGTAAACAGCTTCAGGTTTATATGTACCCCAAAATCTGTTGGCTTAGCTTTTGATAAATGATTTATATAACTTTTGTCAGCACTCTTGTCCTAATTGCTCTTCATTATGGGAACATGGGAAAAATTGTCCTTACTTATGCTTTGAGAGAAAATTCTGCTTCAGCTCTTTAATCTTCCTGTCTGCTTGGGACTTCCCATTCCAAGCAGCCTGGAAGGCTGTTCTTATTTTTCTGGCAAAGCAAGCCTTTCTCATGATTCTGTATTTAAAAAGATCGTGTTACCTTGATGTCATAAAAGCTTTTGCAATTCCTGAGCCATCTTGGCTACACAAAAGGCAGATCATACCTATTTGTTCATGTTTGATTGGTACCTAGGTAGGCGGAGAGGTACTTACCCTGGGTAACAACAAAGCTGTTAAAGAAATGCAGGGAAGCTTTTCTAGTAATCTACTTACTAATTTCTGTTTGTAACTTCTAACATGCTGGAAGAAATTCTTGGAAATGTTGGTTTTGCTGTGGGGAGATGAAAAACATACCTTCTAAATCCCGCGTGTGTCAACTTGACTTCTCAAGTTAGAGCAATCTCTTGCGTTATTTTGCAATACACTTGCACAATACATAGGTAACATGTCAAAAACCGTGTTTGTTTGCTTTCCTTTGTGCACAGTTGTGGTTTTTAAAAACAAATATGAAAACCAAACACCTAGAGCCAAAATTCAAATGATTCTCCTCCCACTCCTCAACTTCTCCCCACCGAACAAACAACAAAAAACAAGGGAGAGAAAAAGTGTAAAGACAAAGATAGTGGTGAAAGTGCAGCAAACATGACCTGATAGCAGTATCTAGCAATTGCACCCAGTTTTAGGCCGTTAAAGGTGAACTGTGGAGAATGTGCTTAGCAAAGGGAAGTGTGGAGGTGCATCTCCAGTACTGTGTCTTGCCTGTAGCTTGATTTTTAAATGGAACCTTATGGGGGATGCAACAAAGATAAGAAATAACCAGGCAGCCTGTTGTCAACTTTGAAACAGGGCTTCCCATGCCTTTATGGCAGTATATGCTATATGACCCTAATTGTATCCAGCAGCTCTGTATTCTCTATAGCTGAAAGCGTGTAGGTCCAGCAGCTGGACATCCTCCCCTTGTCCTGTGGTCTTGCCACCTGATGCTCTCTTGGCTTTGTATCATCTCCTCTTGCAGTATTCATCCTTGCTAAGGGTTTAGCCAGCCTTAGAAAGGGGGAAGAGAAAACTTTCCCTCATCATACTTGTTTGCTGTGCCTTGCATAAGATTATTCTGAACAGTTGGTTTTATCTGCCTTCTCTTTTTGCCCAGAGATTTGAAATTAGAATGAGTCTATCCCTTCACCAAGAGAAACTGGGAGATTCAATCAACTGACAGGCTGAGACACTACTGTAGTCCTTGGATGACATTTAGTATATCCTAATAACTTCATCAACAGAAGGGTTTTCTTTGGTGTTTGGGGTGGTGGTTGTTTGGGTTTATTTTAGTTGAGTGTTTGGATTTAATGGGTTTTTTATAGTTCTTGTTTAATAAGCTGTAATTCTTCATTTCTGTGAAGAAGCTGGTTTATGAAGCAAACTGAAACACTTGTTGTATGTTTTCTGTGACTACTATTATTTATAACTGTGGAAAGCTGCACAATTACTCTTTTTTGAGTTGTGCTCATTTTGGAAAAAGGGCAAAGGAACAAATTTGAACTGCGTGTGTGGGTACGTGTGTCCTGGGTTCCGCAGTGGCAGTCATGTTTTTCCTTTGTGTTAGCTGGTACAGTGCTGTGTTTTGACTTCCAGTTTGAGAACAGTGTTGGTGAAGCCGATGTTCTCGGTTGTTGCTAAGTGATGTTTACCCTGACCAAGGACTCTGTGGGGCTCATGCTCTGCCAGGGAGGAGGGGAGGCTGTGAGGAAGCAGAGACGGGGCGCCTGACCCGGGCTGGCCGGGGAGGTATTCCATACCACAGCACGTCATGCCCGGGGTGAGGGGTAACTGGGAGTTACCCGGAAGGACAGGGGCTTCCGGGTGGAGCTCATTTCTCTTGGCCGGTGGTATCGTATTCTCTTCCCTTGTTATTTTCCCTTATCATTGTTGTAGCTGATAGTAGCGGTGGTGATTTGTTGCTGGACTGTTTTTGTCTCAACCCGTAGGAGTTGCACTCTCTCGATCCTCCTCCCCGTTCCTCCGGGAGCGGGGAAGGGGAGAGCCCCGGTGCGGGGAGGCGGGGGGGGGAGACAGACAGGGACCTCGATTGTTGTCAGCTCGGCACCACTCACTGGGAGTGAGTGAACAAGCTACCTGACTGGGTTTAAACCACGACAACGTGGCAAAGGATGGGTGAACAAGACATGCAAATACCCAATCATCTTCATAGCACTAACATGCCTTCAGTAGGGTCATCTTTTAGTGTGGGTTTTTGTTTTGTTGGGTTTGTTTTTCTTTTAATAAGGGCTTATGTTAAAATAATTGTTTCCTCTGTTTCTGACTGGAAAAACCATGCCTTACGCGCTGTTTCTTTGTTCCAGTTATACATGTATCAGCTGTTCCGGAGTTTAGCCTATATCCACTCCTTTGGGATCTGCCACCGGGATATAAAACCACAGAACCTCTTGCTGGACCCTGATACAGCTGTTCTAAAACTCTGCGACTTCGGAAGGTAAGTACATCTGTGGCCTGAAACCTGGTAAGAAGAGCTTCCTTCAGAGTGAACCTGGGTACAGCTTTGCAGAGCAGTCCTCTCTGTTCTCCAGGAGGCCCTCATCTGTAGTTTTGAAAGAGAAGTTATTGATACTCATGTTTTCCTCTCAAAATAAGTTCATGTGAGAGAGAGAGGCATAAAGGATATCAAGAAGGGGGGAATTTAAGTTCAAGCCTCTTATTTATGAAGGCATTAGGAAAATAAATACACTGTCATATAGGTGAAGTACACCACCATGGAAAAATATAACCAAATATTAGGGTGAAATGTGTTTGGGAAAGAGAGGGCAGGCATATTGGTATGATAACCTAAAAAGGCTAATGTTACACTTTATTAGTCTACTTGTATATACACCAGTTGACTTAATATTTCAAATACCATAAGAGGCTCAAGATCAGAAGCAACAATTCTAATTGAAGCTCTTAGTGAGCTGTATCATAGTTTCCCATGTCACATTTATTTCCAGTTTTTGTTGAAGTCAGTCACCTTTAGAGTCCAACCCCCATCCTAGAACTGATACAGAAATTTGGGGAGTCCACATTGAGACAGGAGACAGATTTCTCTCTTGGAAAGTTCTGTCTTCAGATTGTGGTACAACTTTGCAGACTAAAATAGTTAGGGCATATGTGTGAGAGGTCACAGAAGCTGCTGTTGCTAAATTAGTTTGCCCATACTGAGTGGGAATGTCAGATGGTGGCTATTCAAGCAGGACATCATCATGCCTCGTGGCTTGGGAATCTCCTTCTCGGCTCTACCTCTCACCAGTGCTGGAACAAAATGGGAATTGTACTGAACTCAAAAGTAACAATGCATAAAAAGATGGTTCTTCCTCTGTGCTAACACGGAAACCAGTAGGAATTTGTTAATTGTTATTTCTATGTAGAAAGTGGAAAACTGAGACTTTAAAACAGGCTAAATGGGTGGTGGGAGTCCTTCTTCCCTGAAAGGCTGAAGAACATTTCACTACTCGTGTCTGGAAGGCTGGACATATGATCTGGCTGGCTTGCCACTCTGCTGGGTTTGGTGCTACTTAGTTGAATGTCTTATTTCTGAAAGGGCAGTTTTTGTCTTCCACCTCCTTTCTGTCCAACACATGGGGCTAATTAAGAAAAAAGCATAGCATGTTCATAGACTCATGTTCTGAATGTAATGTGCTCTTGTGTTGCTTTATTTACTTCCAACATTAGTGATTGGGCCAGTATTGTTAGATCCTTTGTGCCTGATCTCTTGCAGTATAAATGAAGCCTTCATGTTAATTGTGGCACATTAACATGTGACTGCAGTGGCAAAGGTTTTTTTTCCTTTGTCTCTTCCTAACACACTCCCTTAAACAGCAGAGAGTTAGAATATTGTGATGGAATGTTCAAAACAAACCAAACCAAACCCCACTCTTAGTTCTGGTGAGTATCCAGAGCTTTTGAACCTTAAAAGGGAACTGTGTTTGACTGAACTGTATTCTGTTCTCTTTTTCTTTGTAAACAAACCTTTGTACCTGGCAAAAGACAGCTGCCAGCCAAAAATCTGACCCTATTTATCACCTAATCTGTAGGCACAATTTCTTTGGCTAAGTCCAGTGTAAGGTAGCTGGTGGATTGAACTGGTTTCATGGTAAATCATTTGAGTTTATGGCTTTCATCAGCTTAGAAGAACATGGTACTTCAGTATTTAGGAATTGGAGTGAGTGAGGAGTGCCAGAGCAGCTTAATGTGGGTCTGCACTGCAGTACTGTAGAACTTAAAGGTTATTATTTTGTTTTCTTTACAGTGCAAAACAGCTGGTTCGTGGAGAACCTAATGTCTCATACATCTGCTCTCGGTACTACAGGGCACCAGAGTTGATCTTTGGAGCCACCGATTATACCTCCAGTATAGGTATGTATGTGTGTGTGTGTTAAAATCTATACCAACTACATGAGTTTGTATTCTGTAGTTAAGTTTTCCAGAGTTAAGGAAGTTCTGTAGTTAAGGTTTCCAGAGATCTTGGATGCAATCCTCAGAGGCAGAATTTTATTGTAAATGGTCAGGTCACACTTCTTAATAACATACTCGCATTTTGTACACAGCTGCTGTGATTTTGATGCCTTTGTAGATTTCCATGTCAGTTACATTAGGAAAGGGGCTTTTTTAATGTATTAAGAGAAATCTGATTTCAAACAAAACAGAAAAAATTCAGGTAGGTCTGCCAAGTAGTTTAGAAGTAGATACGAGATCTCAAGCCAGAAAAGCACTTTGATGACTTAAAACAACTGTAAAGAATGACTGTACAAATATGGACTACTGCCTCTTGATACACTGTGATTTAGACACATAGAATTCTGCAATGCTACTTACTTGGGTTTTAGCAAAGAGTTGTTTGGTTGGGCAGGGGGGTGAGAAATGTAGCCTGATGATTGGCTTTAAACAATCTTGACAGGTTTAATGTATTACATACAGCAGTCTTTCTGATTTGACTTACTCTGTGAGCTTCTTCTGTCCTTTAGTCGTTAATTTTGAACACAAAGAAGGTGACTTTCTAATACCTGGCACATAGGTGTGTCATGGAAGTTAACTAGGGAAGCTGGAGGTTTTGGCAGAGGACAGGGAACAGGCAGGTTTTCTTACAGTGGAGTCCTAAAACTGAATTGCAGAATGAAAAGTCCTAAGACTTAACAGCAGTTTGTTGGGTGGTTGTGGATAACTTCTCAGGTTTCTAGTCAAAGTATTCCCCAGACTCCCTCTGAGTGCTAGGGTTAAAGAGGCAAGATTTGGCTTTCAAGTTCCCCAGTATTGTGCTAAGCTTTTACCTTGCTTATGGACCTGAGTCACTTAGGCAAGGTTTAATATGTTCAAGAAGATTTGAAGATCATGATTAAATCTTGGCAGAATATTGTTTATAACCAGTTACAGTATGTTTAGAGTTTGTGTGTTCTAACTGGTGTTAGAGGCTGGCTGACTCATTCCAACTCCAGTTCTTTGAAAAGAAGTGTTCCTGAAGACTTACCTGCTCTAGCTAGTGTTTTTTTCCCATTAGTTATTCTTCAGTATGTATTGTAGCAACATTTGTGCATCTCCCTGGTAGAAAAAAGGAGGCAGAACCGTAAGAAGTCTGGGAAAGTAACGGCACAATGAAGATAAAAGGGCAGAACTTACTTAATGGTTGGCTGCTGCCAAATGTGACAGCCATGGCCCTACTCTTCCTTGCCTCTGGATTTTCTAGCTCTCACAGTTTACTGTTTAATACACCAATTCACCTTCAGCTGACAAGAGACATTTGGTTATGTTAACATTCTGCTACCATCAGTGAGTTGAATCAGCATTACTGTGTGGTCTGATAAGCAGCAGAGCCCAGGTAGAAGCAAAGTGAGAAGAAGACAGCTGATCCTGGCTGACATCGTTTTTCCAGCTGAAAGTGAATAGATTGGCTCAGCTGCATTATCAGAATGCAGTGAGGCAACTTGTTCCCAAGGATAACTGCATAAAGGAGGGCTTTAGGTGAGCACAAGCGACTGCTTTATAGATAAGCATGTAAATTGCTCTTGTTCCAAAGTGATAGTGACTTTAATCTCGCACTGTTTCGCAAAGCTCTTTTAAAAAGTTGCTCATTCAGTTGTTTTTTGTTGTTTCAGTTTTGCTCTTTCAGTTGTTCAGTTTCTTCTTACCTGCTGGTCTCTAAAACAGCTGTAATAAAAATAGGATTCTGAAGTGAGGAGTCCATTTTCCACTTGCCAAAAACATCATGAATTTCAGTCAGTGGTCAGACTTCGTTGTGTTCTCCCCCACAAAACCACCCTGTTTCCCTCACTCAAGCCTGAAACTTGTAGAGACTACCTTGAAAATGAGGTTCAGCAGGTACTCCTTCCTTCCTGTCCATTTCCCCTTCCTTTTCCTTCTCAACAGAAGCTTTGCATTTGAGAACTGAGAATTAACTAAATGTTTTTACAGACTTTACAGTTTACCAGTGTTCTGCAATATGCTGGTGATTTTAGGGGTTTAGTTTTGTGATGCTGCTGTATCCAGCGGTGGTAAATACCAGGATATTCCTTCATTCTTGTTAGGTAGGCAGCAATAGCACTTAGTGAAAACTCTTCCCCGTTTCACATAGGATTGCTCATCCAAACTCAACCAGCATTCTTCCTACACCAGCCAACAAACACTGATGGGTTTCTGACGCAAGAGGTAGAGGAAGGAACATTTAATTACCAGTACTTTATCCACAGCTCAAAGTATAGGGGACTGTGAAACTCTTCAGTCTCCTTTCTTGGAAAACACAGACATGCTTGTGTTTCCTAGTTCTTGTTTCCTTCTGAATTGCTAATGCAACAGCCCTTTCCTGCTATTGGGTCTCCTTATATATGAATCCACTTATGTGTGGTAGCAGAAACTGAGTTTACATGTAAGGTAGAGATCTTCACTTCTTTGTTTATATACACTATCTTAAAACTACATGAAAAATAAGTGTAGAATGTGGTGCCAAAAAGTGTTCTGAGTAGAACTTTGTGTGCATTATCTGCAAGGCATCCACTCTTTTCATAACGTTTTTGTTGTTTGCTAACATTACTGTAGGGCTTATGATTAATAACACACTGCTATATAGTCATTATTGGAAGTGCTTTTTAAGCTTAGGCAGTGGCACTGTGGTGGCCCAAGACTGATGGTACAGCCAGCCTGCATCATGACCCTTTCAGTAGTTCTTCATCTTGTTTAGCACTGTAATCAGGACTTGCATTAGGCTGTCTGGCTTCATCGAGGTTGTCTTCTAACACCTGAATTTGTCCTTGCAACATAACTTGCTCTTCAATTAGCAGAAACTAAATTTGGTTCCAGGATGTCTTTTCATCCTGGGTGTCACAACAGAACTGTCAGCTGGTGTTTTAACTTTCAGGATCTTGGTTATTTCGTGAAAGTGTATGACTTATATTTAACCTGAAAGGTACCTTAAAAAAAGCCTCACAGCCAGGGTAGTGTTTGTTGCACTTTCTGTCAAGTACTAAATTGGTGCAGTGCAGTATTTAAATACATACTGTAGTGAAAGCAGCATCAAAACACATTTGTTGCAGTTGATGCCTCTGTGTGTGCCATCCAGCAGACCTGGGACTATAGTTAAAATAATGACCTGGGAAATGACCTGTTCAGGTTTTTAAATAATCCCTGTTGCCAAATAGCTACAAATCCAGGCCCATAGCAGCTCTGTTGTCTACCTGCCTTACAGCTTCAGGGATTTATAAAGTGATTCAGAGCACCCTGAGGAGAAGGACTTGGGAGTGTTGGTTGACAAGAAACTGAACATGAGCTGCTTCACTGTGTGCTTGAGCCCAGAAACCAGCTGTGTCCTGGGCTGCATCAAAAGGAGCGTGACCAGCAGGTCGAGGGAGGTGATCCTGCCCCACTTGCAGCACTGTGTGCAGTTCTGGTGTCACCAACACAAGAAGGAAGTGGAGCTGTTGGAGCGAGTGCAGAGGAGGCCACGGGGGTGATCAGGGGCTGGAGCACCTCCCGTATGAAGACAGGCTGAGAAAGTTGGGGCTGTTCAGCCTGGAGAAGAGAAGGCTGCGTGGGGACCTCAGAGCAGCTTCCAGTGTCTGAAGGGGGTCTACAAGGGTGGTGGAGAGGGGCTCTTCATCAGGCACTGTAGCAATAGGACAAGGAGTCATGGGTTCAAACTGAAATAGGGGAAGTTCAGGTTAGATACAAGAAAGAAATTCTCCCCTGTGAGGGTGCTGAGGTGCTGGCATGGGGTGTCCAGAGAAAAACTGTGGCTGCCCCATCCCTGGCAGTGTTCAAGGCCAGGCAGAACAGGGCTTGGAGCAATCTGCTCTAGTGGAAGGTGTCCCTGCCCTTGTCAGGGGGTTGGAACTAGATGAGCTTCAAGGTTCCTTCCAGCCACTCTGATTCTTCTGATTTTTCAGTGGTTAGGCACAAGCATTCATATCAGTTGGGTGCCTTTATAGCTTGGGCCTTCATTCACGTTTGACTAGCAATTCTGCAAGTGTGTGCGTGTCCCTCTGGCTTGCTGGGCATGGCACGCAGTTTTGTTCCAGCAGCTCATTTACAGGAGGGGTGTTTTTTTGCAAACCAAGCCCTTCGGCTATCCCTTGACAGCATTTTGGCTGGAGCTTCTTCCTTGTAGGTCTGTGTGTGTGTTATGCCATTCCAGAGTATGTTGCTAGCATGTTGCTGGCTGCACTGGTCATAAGGGTGCTGCTGCCTGCTGAAAGAACTGTGGGATAGCTGCCCACATTTCCCTGCAGTGTTCTGGGACAAACATAGGCGCTGGAGCAGGGGTGGGTGCAGATGTTTCTGTTGCTACGTGATCTCTTTGTATAAAAAGAAGCTGCACGGTTAAGCTTTACATCCATGACGTGCATTGTTTTACTAGGTTAGTGATGGGGCAAGGGAGGGCTCACTAGAATGTGGCACTGCTTTTAGCTAATAAAAAAGTCTGCTGGTCTCCGTGTGTTTCTCTGTCCCTGTGCTGGCGGGAGTTGAGAGTTCCAGAGGGAACATTTATAGCCACTGGCAGGGAAAGATTGATCTGCGTGGATGTATTGCTGGCTTTTCTTGGGGTGTCCAAAAATAGGTATCATGAAGTTATTCATTCACTTTCCCAGCAAGCACTTAGATGGAGGGAGAGAGTATTTCATCTCAGCAGTCTGGAGCAGAACCTCCTCTGGAGGCGTGCGTAGTTGGGCTGTCTCAGGCTTTCTTGGGGAAGAACCATCACGAGGTGTGTTCAGCACCTGTCACCAAACAGTGAAAAGGGTTTCTCTCTGTCTCGGATGGCAACTTCCAGGGCTGAAAATAAGCATGTGTGTTAATTTACTGAACTATTCTGTCACTTCTTGTAGTTTCATCTCTTCATTGCAGAACAGAGAGAGATACATGTGTATAGGTTTTGTTCCAAACACTGGAACAAGCATGGCTTTCCAAGCATTTTCAGGTTTCAGCCTAGTTCTGTCTCCATGATCTGTGGTTGCTCAATGTGCAGAGCTTGCACTGATGTAGTGTGTGTGCCCATAATCCAGAACTCTGTTCTTGTTCTGACACCCCAGGAAGTGTTCCAAACAAGCAGCAGTAAAGAGCACTTTGGGCTCTGCTATTTGGCAACCTCATAGGGCTGTTTTTCTGACTCCTGATTTCTTCCCTGCTAGTTTGTGTCTGCAGTTTCCAGAGCAGTAACTTTGAGTTGTCTGCAAAATGGAGGAATTCCATCAAGACCAAGGAATAGTGACACAAAGATAAATAGATGAGGGAAAATAAACATAGGTAAACATGGCCTATAAAGTGTCAGATAAAGGAAAGGTTATAATTGTACTAAAGAGATAAGAGCAGGCTCGACTTTCTTCCCTCCCTTCTTTCCTTCCTTTTTCTTTCCATCCTTCTGTCCTCCAGATAACAACTTAAAGGAGCTGGAATGTAATACAATGAATGATGCTCATGCCATGACGAAGAGGGCCAGCTTCTCAGCTTAGAAAGGCAGAATCTGAAATCACAAAAATGAAACTGGCAGATAGGGTATTCTGTCCCAGACAACTGGAAATGGCCATTGCCCACTCTTAGAATTAAAGCTAAGGAGTGTATTTTGCATATTGTCCTGCTGGATGCCTCTTCCTGAACTAAAGAGAAATTTCTTTTTTTTACCTTCTCTAATGCTGCAACAGCATTCAAAAGCCAGGGCATTGTACAGATTATATTATTAGACAAGTTAATATCCACCTAACAATTGTGATGAGCAAGAAAGTAATAGAAACTTAAGAAAAGTTTTGTAGTGTAACAGGCCACATGAATTTGTGTGCTTAAATTAGTGCAGATAGGCCACATCATGATGGTGTTTCTCTAAGTGTTCTTCAGTCTACAAAAGAGTTGGCATTAGCTGCTGTTAGAGTGTGTGAAAGCTATCTGAAGTAAGCTTATTTGAAGGTTGCTTTTGGCTGGCGGTTGCATTTACAGTCCATATTGTTTAGACTACATCTCACCGAAGGTATGGAGAAAGTAACCTTGCCTACTTTCTTCTACTTAAAGTTAATAGCTTTCAGCATTTTCTCCTAAAATTTCACATTGTTCCAACTAGTTTGGCTTAAGGATGATTTGTTAATTTGTTTTCAATGAACAAATCAATGTTTAGGGTTCTCTCTTGTCTTCTTTAAAATTAGCTTAAAGCAGGTGAATGATAGTCGTATTTTGCCTAAATTAAATTGCACATATTAAAAAGGAATAGTTCACAATCATGGGAGTAGGTAGTTGCACCAGAAGCTTGCTCTGAAAGATTATTACCCTATAATAATTTGAGCTGTGACTGTGCTAAGGCAGAAAAGGGTCTGGAAAGGAGCTGTCAAAACCTGATACGAACTACCTTATCACTTCTCTTAAGTAACGTGTCTTTAAATATAGAATGTAGTACATTGTTTATGTCAAGCTTGAGAAAAATGTTACCATCCTACACCCAAATTTTAGTCCTTTTAAAGCCAATCCCATAAATTCCATCAAGTTCTGCAGAGGTGCAATTTCCCAGTTGCTTCCTTATTCTACATAGCTCACGAGAGCTGTAGAAACACCTATGTAAATGGCGTTTTGTTGCTATCCGTGCTTGGAGCTGCTGCAGTTAGCCTCTGCTCTTTGGCTCTTTGTTGAGGATGCTTCAGGGGTTTGTTCACTTCCTTGCCCAGGGAACGTTGCCCAAGTCCTAATTTGGAAGTTGGTGAAATTACAATCCTGGAAAAAAAAGTTGGGAGTTTTAGAATGCCTGTAGCTTATTTCAGTGTGTGTTTAAAGTATTAGCAAGGAAAATGAAGTAGGCTTTTAATAAAGAGTTAGGTTACCCAATTTGGAAGGTGTCACTGCATGAGGGAAAAACTACACAGATTTCCAGTGGATGAGTTTTAAGTTTGATGGTTTAAACCCATCGCAAATGCAGCTGCTATTCCTCAGACATCCCCACCACTTCCCTCATGGCCTCCATTCTTTCTTTTTCTCCTTTGTCCCCCTGTGATGCCCTCATCTGTCTCATGTACCCTCTGCTGTTCTTGCTTGAGCAAGGACCTGCCCATCCTTCAGCTTGTTGGCAGCTCTAGTGTGGCAGAGTGGGGGCAAGCCTGACACATCCCACAGGGATGAGCCCCTCCCATCCTCAGCAGCAACACTGGTGCATGCTCTCCCTGCTGTTTTTACAAAGCTTCAGTCATGGATTTGGGTCTTTGGCCTTTCAGACTTCACTGAAATTGACTGGGGAAGTGCAAAAGCATTTAGGGAGCCTGGGAATGGATAAGCCAGAAGAAAGCCAGCTTCATGGAGCAGCCAGACCAGAAGGTCATTTAAAACAGTTTTAAGAAGCCACAGTCTAATTTGAAAAAGCTCATGCTAGCATAGTTTCAACATTTGTAGAGGGGGTGAGTTGTTAATACTGACTTGCACCAATCCAGGGCTGACACTGAGAGTATGTTGTGACAAATACTTTTCCTTCCCATATGTTGTTTCTTTTTCAGTGCAAAATAAGGGTTGAAGTTGTACATAATCATTATAGCTTTGGGGTACCATTTGTTTTGTATACTCAGTGTAAAGGACTTCACTCTTTCAAATCCCTTTAAGGTGCCTTTAAATAGACTTCTGAGTTCCAGTACTCTGACTGCTTAGTACATTTAATCTGTTTCTTCAATACTTGTGAAGAAATCTGTGCTACCTGTTGAACTGTTGTATAATTTCCTCTAAACCCGGTAGGCATGGGATGACATACAAAGTGATTCTTTGATTCATGTTTTTGTTGTGTGTGCCAGTCCAACAGCAGGGGCTATCAGGGAGAAACTTTGTTTAGCATTCAAATACAATTAAGTGTTCTTTTGTTGTCCAAAAGAGATCAATCGTGTTGTGACCGTATCAGCTTTTATTAAATATGACTAAAAGATCAAAATGCGTAATCCGGTATGTTTGCTTCTTTGATACTCAGGACTCAAACTGTGCATTATTTCTGGCTGCTGTTCATACTGTTGTTTTAGGATAAACCCTGATGCGATGTTTGTACTAAGGCATTATGTAGAAATGCACCTGTTTGACACAAAAGTGAATACCTTGAAAGCTGCAGTTACGAGCAGTTGAAAGCTGCAGTTATGAGCAGTGGTTTTTGTCCACTGTATGTTCCAATTGAACCACATCTTTCTTGAGAAAAGGGGAAGGTATTTTTGCATAGCCCCTCTCTTTCATTTAGAAATGGGGGAAGGAAAAGTCTGTTTTAACAGGTTATTTCATCATCAATCTTGATATTCTGAAAGTTTGGGGGTGTCTTGTTGGATTTTATTTTTATTATTAGCGATATCATTATTATTTATTGTTGTTATTGTTTGCATCAGTCTGTAGTGGTTATGACAAAGTGATAATAGGCTGTTTAGAGAACTGTCAGAGACATTTTCCTTACACAGGCCTTTAACCATAACTGACAGTGTTATGTATATCGTGCTCCCCAATGGCATAGTTTAAATACAGTAGAGGAATAAGGATCTCTGTCATAATGTTATCTCAGGCTGGAACAGGCCTCAGGAGATAAATTCTCTGGGGGTTGAGTGCTGATGATGCTGTTGTTTTGGGGAGAGAGGTTAGCTTGTAAAAGTAGGCAAGGATTTCAAATGGAATCAAGGAAAGAAGGATGGAGGGGGACTGGTTTTGCTCTTTTCTTGTTTGGGGCATCACAGTATTGTAGGCTTTGCAAATCTTCCATTAAACTGATTGCTTGTTTGAGGCTGGATTTTAGTGTAAGGCTTCAGATGTGTGTTGAACAAATGAGGACTTTTTAGAAAGCCTAAATAGTCTGGTTTTGGAGAAGCAGTTATCTCTGCATCTGGGGGCAATACTTTTGCTGTGTTGAGCAGCTTAAATATCAGTATTTAGTGTGTAGTTCCAGCAGATTCTCAGAAACATCTGTTACACAGTGCTTACTGCATTTGCTTCATTAGATTTTTCATTTAAATGAACTGTGTTTCAAAATTAAAATGCTATATTCTGTAGTACATTTAGATACATTCTTAAGTTGCTGTTGTAGTATGTAATGGTCTTATTTTTATGTAAGATATACCTGTAATTGATTATGAAAGCTTTCTTCCTGTGAAGGACTAGCTGCTAATGACTACTTGTGGCTTTTGGTGTACATATGAACATTAGTTGATGGCTTCTTTTGAGGATGCTGTTGACCTTATCTAGACTTGCAGTTTTGCTGTCCAGCCAACCCTGCAAATGGAATTAGCATAAAGATTAGGTCTGAGTGTGACTGAGTTAGGGAGGCTGTCTCTCAGATTATGTACTGCAGGATACAAGTGATACTTGCAGCACAGGTTCGTCTGCTGATGGATGAAAAATTGAGTCTATTCATCAGTCAGAAACAGTAAAAACATCAGCCATTGTCTAATCAGTGGTTTAAAAACAACACAGGGTTTGGGAAAATTCCCAATTTTCAGATGGCAAATGCTCTCAGATCTTTTCCCTACATGTTTTAATGTCAATAAATGATGGCATTTAACATTCTTCCCCAGTTCTTATTGTCTCATGGTTTGATTTCTAAACCTGCTCACCGTTGCTTTATGCTAGGTATCTTTTTTCTAGGAATGTGTTTTATTTTTAGCTGTGTTAAATACTCTATTAAACATGGCAAAGAATAAAGTAAGTAGCTTAAAATTGCTGGGGTTTATAGAAATTGCCTAATATGTACCTTTTACTGATACCTTTCCCTTTCCTCTGCTTTCCCTTTTTCAGATGTGTGGTCAGCAGGCTGTGTATTGGCTGAACTGTTACTAGGACAACCAATCTTTCCAGGTGACAGTGGTGTGGATCAGTTGGTGGAAATAATCAAGGTATGGAATTTTAAGTGTTGCTTTGACTGCATTATTCCTTAGGAATCAGCATGAAAGCATGCATTGGTATAAACTTGCTAACATACAAAATTCTGTCACTATTGTACAGGGTGCTGTGTGTAAACCATGTTTGAGAACACTTCTCATGCTTTTTTTCAGACCTTGATGATCTTTGTTTGCACCTCTTGCAGTCATGCATAATGATATGTCATCTTTTAACTATGCAGGGTTTTTTTTCCTCTCTTAAAGAATTGCACTTCCAATGTGCTTGGAAATAGTGCTTACATACTGAGCCAATATTTATTAATGTGTGATTTTAATTCTTTAAGAATCTGGCTCTTTTTCCTTTGTTGTATGCAGTTGGTACTTGGCTTTGAAAACAATGTTATTAAATCTCCTTGTGCCAGATATGTAGCCTTCTTCTCTTCCTTAGTTCCTTCCAGCTCTTGGATGTGAGAGGTGAGACAGGGCACTCCTTTTTGCAGATGCAGAATCGAGAAATTTAGGGCAAAAAGATCTTCCACCTAGAGAGTCTTGTTTTTCAAGTGGAAAGGCCTAATGTTTCAGAATACATAAGATTTGTGTATCACTTGTGTCTGAACACATCTTGATTGTTTTGTTTGGTGAGCTGTGAATATTCTGTGATTCTCAAATTAGAGGCACGGAAGACTAATTCCAAGTTGTGTCAGTTTACACAGGAAACACAAGTGGAAAACTAGAGTTGCTCTCAGAAATAGGGCTGATGGTGGCATAAGTGACATTTTTATCCTTTTGAGAAGTGTCTTGGAGCAGTGTGCTGCTTTCTGCTACACTGCTTTTGCAAGATGTGAGGTGATCCCTGTGGACACTTCAGGTGGCCGGAGTGTCAGTGTGCAAGAATCTGTGGTGTTTGCCTTCCAACATGTTCAAAAAGTCCTGTTTTGCTTCTTTATTAATCTCTGCAATCTTGAGGAATTAGATCCAATAATTTTTTTGTAATTAATGGTGAAATTCCTGTACGTCCTGTAAGTTTAAATCGGTGACGAGTGCTGTTCCTCGGTTCACTATTGGGACCGATCTTGTTCAACATCTTTGTTGGTGACATGGACACTGGGACTGATGCACCCTCAGCAAGTTTGTGATGACACTGAGCTGCGTGGTTCAGTTGATACGCTGGAGGGAAGGGATGTGATTCAGAGGGACCTTGACACGCTTGTGAGGTGGGCTGATACCAACCTTATGAAGTTCAGCCAAGCCAAGTGCAAGGTCCTCCACCTGGGTCAGTGCAATCCCAGGCACAGCTAAAGGTGGGCAGAGAAGAGATTCAGAGCAGCCCTGCAGAGAAGGACTTGGGGGTGTTGGTTGATGAGAAACTGAACATGGGCCAGCTTCAGTGTGCGCTTGAGCCTGGAAACCCCTCCGTGTGCTGGGCTGTCCCCCAGAGTGTGAGCAGCAGGTTGAGGGAGGAGATTCTCCCCCTCTGCTGCTCTCTGGGGAGACACCCCCCTGCAGTCCTGATCCAGCTCTGGGGCAACAACACAAGAGGGACATGGAGCTGTTGGAGAGAGTCCAGAGGAGGCCATGGAGGTGCTGCGAGGGCTGGAGCAGCTCTGTCTGGAGACAGACTGAGAGAGCTGGGCTGGTTCAGCCTGGGGAAGAGAAGGCTTTGGGAAGACCTCATAGCATGCTTCTGGTACCTAAAGGGGACCTACAAGGAAACTGAAGAGGAACTTTATGCTTTTGTAGCCTCAGTACAGTTGAAGACATACCCAATTCTGCAGCATAAAAGTTGCCAGAAATGTGAAGTCCTCGGCACAGCATAAAACATGAGGTTGTATTAAATTCTATTTAGGATTCATTTTAAAAAATGTTTTTACAGATGGTGACCACCTCTTCCATTTGCTGCCACAGAATACTACTATTTAAAGCTTTTAATGTTGCACAGACTTACTTTAATGTTTGCTGGCTGTAGGAGAGGCAGAGCTGTGGGATCTGAGAGTTGTAGAATGGCAGTGAACTTTGTAGGTTGCAGGTTGGAACCTGTGAGCTGCTGTTCGACTACTTTGGAGTTACTCTTTTCAGATACTTTCCTTGGAACTGTCTGAAACTGTGAAGGGCAAAGAAAATGCAATAAACTCCCCCAAAAGGGCCGTAGTAAAGTATTTATCCACACATTTGGAAACACATGATTTTCATCCCTTAAATTTACTTGATTCCATTGCAGGAGAGGTCAGCTTAGAAACTTTTCTGTCAGTTCAGGATGACTGAGTCACAGTCACTCTCACAGAACTTGAGCCAGCATAAATCTTCCAGTTGTCTCTTCAGTTGCTTACTCAGCTTTGATTATTCAGACTTCATTTCACAGCACAGCACTTGGATGTTGCACCTGGGTATGGAGGTTTTTTTGCGTTAGGCTGGAGAGTAACTTCCAAATGCCATCGCATTAAACTGGTCCTTCCTTCTCATGCAGTTCTTGGTGACATCCCCTTGGTAGCTGTGTTTATGAAGACAGAATTCTTGGTCTGTGTCAGTCGGTACGGCTTGTCCTCCCTGCAGGCTGCATGCCCAACATCCGCAGTCCCTTGCAGCATCAGAAGCATTCTTGGCTTTTGTCAGATTTTGAATCACTTTCAGCAATCTTCGTGTAGTTTCATTTCAGTCTTGCACGATCTTCTCCATCCAGTTGTACCTGGAGCTTCTCCAGGCCTATGGCATATTTTCAAACTGCTCTGAAAAACTGTGCCCCTCTAGAACCACAGCATCATGTTCATGTGAATCAAGAGATGGTCCCTTTCTTAGCTGCTTTTTCTCTTGTTCGTATTTCTTTAAAGTCAGCCTTTCCAGATGTTCTCAGTCTGGCTGGGAGAGATTGATCTTTGACCACTTACCCTGACAAAATGATACTCGATATGGGGAAATAACTGTCTTGGAGTTCCATCTGAAGAAATAATTTAACCCAAGTACATTCTTCTTGAATACTTACGCTATTACAGGAGAGAAATGATGTGCTGTGCTTTTTCCAAAGTTTGATCTCAAATGGTGACTCTTCCTCCTTATTTTTAGCTCTTGCTAGCTATTCTGATGTTAGGTTATCCCACTGCTGGGAATATCTCAAGTGGGTAACCCAATATATTCATTAAAATTCATGCCCCTGCTGGCTTTTGAGTGACATCCCCTTCAGAAATATGCTCAGTTGAGCTGAGTGCAGCTGGAAAGAAGGATCTCTTTGACCACGGGGCAGACTCCTTCATAAATCTCCAACCTTGTGCATGCAGCTTGCAGTGCAGCAGGAGGTGTCTTCAGGCCTGCCATGCCCCCTGTGAAAGCTTGGGGACATTCCTGCCCACCCCCAGCTCTACAGCACCCTGAAACCATCAAATTAAAACTGGCTGGGGTATCCCTCCCCAGACTAAAGCATCTTAAACCACGATTCCTGTAGGCAGTGGTTACTTTCTTATTCCCTTTGCAAAAAGGGAATCTCGGAAGCATATAATGGTTTTGTTTCCAAGATAATTACTATCTTCTGAAAGGTTCCGTTTAGTATCTTTCCCCTCCTCCCCTCAAAAGTGAAAATAAATGAAGACTCATCTGTCAGCAGAAGGAAGCAGCAAGAATTGTCTGAGCAGCCCTGGGACACAGGGAGGATAGGAACTGCCAATCTGTCTCGTGTTGTCTTCACCAGAAATGTTTTTTCCATATGCTGTAATCTTAGAGTATGAGATGCATCGACTGACTTGTGAAAACCAGAGGAAAGGAGTTGCAGGGTATCTGATTAGGGTTTTTTTGGTTCCTCCTGGACTGAGAGATTATTCTTTGCACCAAAACTTGGCTTTTCATGTTCATTTAGGGGAAATAAAATCATCTTCCTATAGTTTTCTGAGTTGGGGGGGAAAGGAGGAGAAAAGATATCAAAAGACAAACTCAATAGTATCAGGAATCCTATCCATGTGTAACTTTTTGGTCTCTGACAGTTTTACTGAGCCAGATGCTAAGTATAAACTGCAATTATAATATATGGCTCATGCTCAAATGTCAAGGTACTATTTTGGGCTCAGTTTTTGAAATAAAGCAAATTCAGTCACAGTAGTTAATGGGGAGAGAGGAGCTGTCTGTTCCGGGAGAATAAGCCGTAGGAGAACGCCTTTCATTTTATTGGACGTGGTCCTGCGCTGTGGACCTTCCTCAGCAGGCTTTCACGTGGTCCTCTCTCCTCACCCCTAAGGGAAGACTCCTGGCATTTTAATTCCCTGATGTCCCCCCACATCACAACTTGGCTGTTCCTGTGCTTCAAGTAATTTTTCACTTCCAGGGCTTGCAGGCAGGCAATGTAAAAACGTTGATGAGCCATTATAGTCATGTCAGCAGTGACAATGGGTTTCTTCCTCTTCCTGATGTATAGCTGCTCTTGTGTTTGTGAATAGAAGAAATCTCTATATTTAGTTGGCTTTCATTTGGTTTGACAAGAGTGTTTTGAAAGAAAGTGTATATAAAATGGGCAAGTTTCTTTTCTACCACAGTCCTCTTGACGTATTACTTCAAAAGTTGACCCGTGTTTACTGCTTCAGATGTCTACACTGTGAATTTTCTCAATAACTATTTGGCACACCTCTCCCAACTTTCTGAAGAGGTGCAGACATGTTTGTGGAAGTATTAATTATGCCATCTGCTAAGCCATGCACACCAGACTTCCTGGAGCACGATTCCTCATAAACTTGCTCTGTTTTCCCGGGGAAGATCACTGTACCACCATGTAACCATGGCTTTCTGGAGGTTTCTGATTTAAATAACTGCCTTCCCCTTCTCCAGTTCAGTCTTTACCAGCTGGAGCTTCTGAACCCTTGGTGTCCCTCTGCTTTTAACTGATTTTTACATTTGGGCTAAGATTTATCAGTATTGGTGGTTTGTCAGAAAGGGCCTTTATTCCACTGGGGCTTATTGAGACCACTGCAGTTGCCCCTTCCTCCTGTGTTGCTCAGTGGTGTGGGTATGGTCATCAATAACTTGGTGCAGTTTTGCACAGTGAAACCAGGTGTGAACAGCAGCTGTCTGTGGTACTGGGGTGTAACTACGGTGTCTTTTGGAGCTGAATATCCTCCTATTTAAATTTACTTGGAAGAACATAAAATGAAGATCTTTATTTGTAATCAAATTCAGGGTTTATTCAAGGTTCATAGGTCTCTGCTTCTTGTATGTTAAGGATGCTTTTATTGGGAAATAGTAGCTTTTCTCCAGTTGCTTGATAAATGTATCATTACCCTTCCTTCACTAACCTGTTCCTGGAATAAAAAATTATCTGGGGAGCTTCATCCATTTACAGATTAATGTCAAAGGAAAACTTTCAAGAAAATACGTGGGAAACCTTTTCTGTTCAGGTTTTGTCCTAAGAGAACCAGAGCAGCATTTGTCTTCTCAGCAAGCATATTCTCTAGTTAATTGTAGTAGATATTTCTTTATTTTTACTCAAGGGATGATGGTTCTGACAGATGGGAAGGAAGAGCAAAGCTAGTTCAGCTGTTGACTTCATTTGCAGGAAAATGCCTGCACAGAAATACCTGAAGGGAAGGAGCAAAGAAGAGGGAGCCAGGCTCTCTGCTTTGGTATCCTGTGACAGGGCACAAGTTAAACCATGTGAAATTCAACCTGAACACAAGTAGATGACATATTTTTAATGCGAGGGTGGTCCAACAGTGGAAGCTGTTTCCCATGGAGGCTGTGAAATCTCTGTCCTTGGATATACTCAAAAGCCATCTAGACATGGTCTTGGGCAACCAACTCTCGCCATTGCTGCTTGTACAGGGAGGTTGGACCGGGAGACCTCCAGAGGTCCCTTCCAACTTCAGCAGTTCTGTGATGCAGTGAAACCTCTCTCCAAGGAACATCAGCTCCATAGTATTTTCAGAGTATAGCAAGAGCAGCTGTTCCATGGAGTAATTCTGCCCAAAATGTGCAAATTTATGCTTCTCCTTTGCATTTCAAATGGAAAGAACAGTCACAGACAGGGTTTTTCTTTCAGAAGAGAGTTTTGCCCAATTTTGCAATAGCTTAAATGGTTGCTGTTACTCATCAAGGTTATTTGAATGTATTCCTAATATACTGAAAACTCTGTGTGAATAAGTGAGGTACAATTTCAAAACCATGCAGCTGACAGTGTTGGTTCATTGAAGAAAGGTCCACTACAAGATCCCTTCCAGATATGTCAAGTACTGGTACAATTTTATAGCTTGTCGGTGGATTCATCCCACATTTGTTTTTTGGATTGTGATTTGAATTAGTCACAGACTTCCATTCTTCTTCCTGCCTGTTTTCATTTACCCTATGTTTTCTGTTTGGTCTTGGGTTGAGTTTTTTGGGAAGATGGGGCTTGGGTTTTTTTGGCTTTGTTTTGTTTGGGGTTCTTTTTGGTTGGTTTTTGAGGTTTTGTTTTTTGTTGTTTTTTTTTTAATTTTTGCTCTAATCTGCCTTCAGTACAGACTGGAAGCACAATCTGACTTTAGAATCCACAGAGAATAAAGTAAATACACTGAGTGGCTGATACAAGTCGCTTTTTCTTTTGTAGTTAACTTTGTGTGTCAGAGGCTGCTATGGAACTGAAAGGTCAGGTGATTTCTTTCAGCTAGTATGATCTCTCTTCAGTACCTGTTTTTCTAAGCATTCATGAAACCTTCAGCACTGTTGCTGCCTGTTCTTAAGGGTTGCTCCCTTCCATCATAGAATCATAGAATAGTTAGGGTTGTAAAGGACCTTAAGATCACCTAGTTCCTACCCCCCTGCCATGGGCAGGGACAATCATGTGGAGTTATAGCTGTGTCCTTGGTGAAATAGTGTATGAAGAGACATTGCCCTTGCCTATCTCATCTGAGTTCTCTTTAAAGCTACAGGCATGTTTTAAATGAAGAGACTTGCACCATGTAGGCTTCTGTTCTGAGCAGCTGTGGCAACTGAACCAGTTTGCTGAATTTTGTCTGTATTTAAAGAAGAACCCAACTACTCTTTGCCTCTTCTCAGGAAGGCTATTAAAGGAATTTTGGAGGAGGAGGAAGAGGGTAAAGAAGGTAACCATGCCTTTTATGAAGTCCTGTTTATACTAGGGAGGCCTAAAACGTAGCCTTTAGAAATGGTGGGAGAGCAATACAAGTTAGTCCTAATTGTTCAGGAAGTTAATTTAACTAACCGAAAATACTCCCAAAGTTTTGGAAGTGGCTTTTGTCCTGAACCAGGATGAAAATAATATTTGCAGGAGTGAAATCTCCTCATCTTTTACAGCTGGCATCAAAGCTTTGAGAGTAGCACCCACCTGGCAGGGCTGGCAGCAGGGTGGCCAGTGCCAGACAGAAAACCAGCAGGGAAAGGGCATGTTTTCCTGTCAACTCTTTTTCCTTTGGAAGTTGGGCAAAATCTACAGAACCCTTCAAACACCCCCTTTTCTACCACCTGAGGAAAGCAGCATTTTCAGACATGCACAGAAAACTCTCCCATCAGCTCTGAAGTTAACCCTTTTAGAGAGAGTAGGTAGGACTTAAATCCCAGTTAGCAATAGGAAGGTAGAAGTTACGTGATCGTTCATTTCATACTTGTCAGTTAAATCTCTTATCCGAGAAGCAAGTGCCTGAACAAGCTGCAGGGTTTATTTCTCTGCTGCTACTGTTTAATCAAAAGATTGCTTTGTGCGTAGGTGCTTTAGTTTGTGTTTTACAGCTTGTGTTGTAAATAATAGATGCCAAGTTCCTTTCATAATACCTGATGATAGTTCCTCTGTTGCACAGATTAATTAAACAGCAATTAACTTGCTCTTTTCCCCCTTTACCTGAGTCTTTAGAGTGCATTTGTGTGATCTCCACTGTTCTGACAGAATGAAAATGTTCGGTACCAGAATATGTAATCAAATGCTTCTTTATCAAGCAGTAAGGTAGAGTGCTAACGTCATGTTGTAGGTCATTCGTTTCCTGCTGGTGACGGTGCAGTCTCATGAGATGAGGTGGTAACATTATGCTAATCTCTATGGCAAGGGATTTGTCACAGGGTGAGAGTAGCGTGGCTACAGGGTTCCAATAGGAAGATGAACCTGAGCTCAGCGTAGAGGAGTGGCTCCTCTGCCTGCAGCCCTCTACACTTCTCTCTGCAGAACAAAAGGATACCCAGTAACTGGGTGCAAGCAGAAAACAACAGGATTCCTTGAACAGGCTTTGCAGTTTTTATATATAGCTGGAAGGCAATGGCTCTCTTATGCTTAGTGTTAACTGAACAGAAAGCACTAATGCCATATGTCCGGCTTATTCCCTGAGGGGATTTCCGAAATCCTTTCAAAATCTATCCACCCCAACAAAGAGGTGTGTGATTGTGTGTTACTTCTCCTACAACTACTCATTTGCATGTGAAAATAACATTGTACAGATTCTGGGAATGAGAAATACAAAGTTGTAAAAGTAGACCAGGGCTGGTATGCATTTTAGATGCTTCCGGTTTAGGTTTAAATTAAGTTTATCTTCCATGTGGAAATACTGGGAAGGGGAGCCACAACCAAAACCACACAATTTGGGGTGGGGGGAGAACCTGTCTGGCTCCCCTCAGTAGTAAGTGGCTGATCTTTTAAGCTCATCAGAGGTTCATGACTTGTAAAATGCAGTCTGTGCTACAGGTCTGATCCTTCATCAGCCATATGCAGCGAGCTGCAGTCCCAGAATTTGTTTGGCAGTACTGTTTTACAGCATTCTAATTAGAGTGAGCTCTCTTCCCCATTGAAATATCATAAAGTTTGAGAAAGGTGCTTGAATTTCGTAAAAGACTGGGGAAGATAATTAAACTTTTGGCACTTAGCTTGGAGTATGAACTGAACTGCAAGCAAGAGACTACTGAAGCTGGAGTGAGGACTGCAAAGATGATTAAGGGCCTGGAACATCTGTCAGGAGAGGTTGTAAGAGCTGGCACTGAGGCAGAGAAGGCTTGGGGGGTCTTATCAATGTGTATAAAATACCTGGTGGAGGGAACAGAGAAGAAACAGCTAGGCTCTTCTTGTGGTGCCTGCTGACTGGACAAGGGGCAGTGGCACGAAGTAAAGTGAAAATTCATTTGAATGCTATAAACCACTCTTTTTCCTGTGAGGGAGGTCAAAGACTGGAGCAGGTTGCCCAGAGAGGTTGTAAAGTCTCCTTCTATGGAGATGCTAAAAGCCTAGTGGGACATGGTCTTAGGCAGCCGGTTCCAGCTGACCCTGCTTGAGCCAGGGGGTTGGATCAGAAACTCCCAGGGCAGGGACGTTCCTTCCAACTTAAACAGTTCTGCAAAAGTTCAGTTGTTTTGTTTTAAACACTGTATTAACTTACTGGTAACACAGATTGACTTCAGTTGTCTCAGTGTATGATAGGTTATAGTGAGCTCTTCATTACCATATGACTATGAAGCATATCTAAATGATCTGCCTTTTTTTCTCTCTCCTGTCTAGGTTCTGGGAACGCCTACAAGGGAGCAAATTAGAGAAATGAATCCGAACTATACTGAATTCAAATTCCCTCAGATTAAGGCACATCCATGGACTAAGGTGAGTCTATATGAACTGGCTAATAAAGACATGTGGGCTCAAAGCAAAAATTGAAGGAGTTCAGTGGCTTGGTGACTGGCTTTCAGTCTGAACTGGGCACTCTAACTAAGCTGGGGACCCAGTAACTTCTGATGCTGAAAAGGAGAAGAAGCTATTGAAGCAGTGCACTGTAATATCTGTTGGTCTGGGGTTTTTTGAGGTTGCCTACAGGTGTTGAAGGGTTTTTTTTAGTAATATATCTGTAGCAGATTGCAGTATATTTAAATCCTGTCATGCTATAAATTGATACTCACAAAAGTCACCTATAAATGAGAGAATGTTCCAGTGATAATATGTGACACTTTCATAATGCTGGTCCATAATGTGACAAGGGCTGACAGTCACTTTCTTAACTGCTTCTGTCATAGATATTATTATATTTGTACTCCTATAGGGGTGCTGTTGAGGGGGTTGGTTTTGCTTTCTTAAGGCTAACTAGCTTTCACAAGGAGACACTATTGCAGTATATGCAAACAATATTATAACCTCCATGATCAAAGAGTAAACTGCTAGTATTGAAACAAATACATTGCCACACAATTGAGCTGTCTTCCATGTATCAAGGAATGAGTAATATTTGACTTGGGACACTGAAACAATTAATGGTTTAATTGGCCTCTTGGCTGTGGAATAAGTTAAATATAGAAGCTTAAGCAATTAAACCCTGGGTAGTTAACATTCTTTGCTGCTTGAGAAATGTCTGATACAGTTGCAGTATATTCTTATCATATCTTAAAGACTCAGGTTTTATTCTGCTAAGAAAGCAGCGTATGTATGTGGAAGGTTTGCATTCGTAGCTGAGCACATGTCCAGGTCAGACTCTTTGGACCAAATGCTCTGTGATAGTAGAAACTCTGGATAAACTAATTAGAGCTAATTGATAGCAGGCATGTACCAGATAGGTACATACCAGGCCAGGTACTGCTAGTCACTGTTACTGTGACAGATCCTCCAACGAGTTATGTGCCACTTCAATTTTCCTTTTACCCACTGATCTCTTGTTTGCATTTCCATATCAGAGTTTCTTTAAGTCATTTAAATGATTTCTAATAGTATAAGAGGTCAGTAAATCCAGCAAGGCTTTTTGATACCATATGTTAACAAGGGAAAACGTTAGGGCAAATGAAATCCCTTGGAGTGCTCTCCGCAGTTTTGAATTGCATCAGCATTAAAGTCATGAGAATAAGTCCAGAAGACTTGTAGTACTGAGTATTAGGGGCACATCTGAATTCCTGCAGTGAAGGTGTTTGGGTCGGGAATGGGTTAAATTTGTATGCAGTGGAGTGCAGAGATGACCTGTAGGACATGGAGTTAAGCAAGCATCTAAGCTAGCTATGCAACTCATCTTGTGCCTGAATCATCTTTTAAGAATCTCTATGCACTTGATGGTCACTTAGACCACAACGGAGATCATCTGGCAAATAGAAGCTTTAAGAAAAAAGTGAGACTTCCTTCTGGAGTCTTTCTTCTTTCATACAAATGGTTTTTTGGTCATTCTAAAGGCTCACAAGTGAAACTAAGTCAGTTACAAAGAATTGAGAGGAGCTTGCCACAGGATGAAATCTGCATTCTCAATTAGGGCAGAATCATTTTGGGGGAGCTGTGCTTGCAACATAGCTTTTGATTGTTGAGTCATTCTGCACACAACTCTTTTCTGGCATTGGCTGGGTGTAGAATAGCATTTAAACCAGCTTATTACAATTGCATTACATGATACTTCATTTATGAGATCTGTACTTTTCTAGTTCTACAAATGCTAAATTAGCAAAATGGATTATCCAGCATGGTGTTGGTAACGGTACTCATCCTCTCAATGTATTACTTCTAAAGATGCTTTCCTTTCAACACTTGGAGCATGATGAGCTCTGAAGGATTTAAGTGTTAGTGTTACAGAGAATTGGTCTTCCTTACCCAACTGTATTGGCATAACATGTGATGGCACATCAGTGGACATATGCCATCCTCTTGTAGCTTCCATAAAGCGTGGGAGAAAAAGCACTGCTGACCCGGCTGTCTAATGAGCAGAAAAGGAATGACTGAGGAAATGAAAGTTCACGTTTCTTTTGTTATAACTGTTCATGTAACTAGAGTGCTACAGGTAGTTGCTAGCAAGGACTTGAACTTCTGGTTTCAGCCTCAAAAGCACAAGCCTTTACCATCTGGTGGTCTGATCTGCTACATTGGCTGTTACGTGCTAGGTGAAGCGGAATGGCGGCTGGTGCTGTAGCAGAATGAAATAGGTTCTGGCATTTTTAAAGAGCTGGGCAAATTGTTTGAGACCGAATAAGGATGAATCAGTACTCCTTGAGTTGTCCTTAGGAATAGTGTCTCTCAGGTTCATTCAGTTTCAGGCCTAAATTGGGTTTTGTGGAAATTTGAAGTCTGCCTTCATAGATGTAGCATAGATTTTTCAGTAGAAATGGATTGGGATCATCCAAATGCAGTACTGATATTCAAAGTCATGTAGTAGTATGAAGACAGATTTCAAATTAACTGTGCTCCTTCTTCATAGATTAGGAGAGAAGTCAAGCTAGCACTCAGTATCTTTCCATGCTGCAGCAATAACGCAAGTTCACAGTGCAAGCTGTTCTTGGACTGGTTTTTCAGTCTGTTGACAATTTAAGATTGAAATACTTTTGCAACTTAAGAGCTGGAATCTCTCAGTATAAAACATACAGAGGCCTCTCTGTCTTCTCTCCAATATATTCTGTGTTGCCCAAGCACATGCATGTTTTGATACCAGTTCTGCACATGATGCAGATGATGATGGGAGTTCACTGTGTCCCTGGCTAACAAAAGAAAAGAGAATCTGAACTTTCCAGGAATCTTTTAAATAGTTCTTCCAGAATGGGACTTCTCTCTCTTTTGGCACCCCACACCACAACCCCAGCCCCAGAGGAGGAATTTAGGATATTTTGGTTCCCTCAGAATAGCAGAGTGGTTAATTTAGTAATGTAGCTGTTCATTTCATCCTGACCTTCCTTTGTTTTCACTTAGTATAGAATATTTTTTATTCATAGAGGTACATCCTACTACTCGTCTGCCTTGGTCAGCGAGTAAGTAGCATAAAGTTGTAAGAGAAGCAAGGGCTTGTCTTATAAGGGCTGGGAATATCTTTTGACTGACTTATGCAATCAGGAAAAAAATGGGTAGGCTTTTAGACACACAGTTGTTTTCCTGTCCATGTTTTCCAACTATATCAGCTCACTTGTCCTGGGTTCAGCTGTAGCAATCATTTTTCTCCTTCCCAGTAGCTGGTGCAGTGCTGTGTTTGGCCTCTAGTCTGAAAACAATGCTGATAACACCGATGTTTTTAGTTGCTACTTGGTAATGTTCACTCTGACCAAGGACTTCCTGAGTCTCATGCTCTGCCAGGAAGGAGGGGAAGCTGGGAGAAAGCAGAGCCAGGACACCTGACCCAAACTAGCCAGAGAGGTATTCCATACCACAGTGTGTCATGGCCAGTATAGAAACTGGGGGTGGAGTTACCTGAAAGGTCAAGATTGCTGCTCAGGTTGGGCTGGGTATCGGTTGGCAAGTGCTGAGCAATTGTATTGTGCATCACTTGCGTTTATTGATGTTTTTTTTCCCTTTTCTAGTTTTATATTCTCTCCCTTTGTTATTTCCCTTATCATTATTGGGAGTAGTATTATATTGTATTTTAGTTATTGGACTGTTCTTATCTCAACCCATGGGGTTTATGTTCTTTTGATTCTCCTCCCCATCCTGCCTGGAGCAGGGGTGAGTGGAATGGCTGCATGGTTCTGAGTTACTGGCTGGGGTTAAACCACAACATCAGTGAATAAAAGTTACTATCCTTTCTGGAGGCTTTGCTGCTGCTGTTTTTACTAGGTCAGAACTTTCCTTCCATGTCTTTCAGCTGCCTCAGTTCCTTGAGCCTTCCTTCTTCTTGGAAGTGCATTCTGATCTCTGCTCCTAATCTTTATACTTGTTTCTCCTCTGTCTGAGCTTCATCTATATTTTATAAATGTGTGACTGGAAAGCCAAGAAGAAAATCTGAGATCAAGTGCAAGGTTGTACATTGCAGGGCTGTCAAAGATAAGCTTTGGAGGTTAGCTTTCTCTGAGGCCTTTTTCAGCCCTTTTGGAAGGGGGCAGGGACAGTGGGGTGGCTGACAAAAGGTCTAAATGCATGCTTCATAAGCTTGTGTTAGATAGGCGTTGCTTACCATGGCCCCAGTACAGCTGGCCTTTATCCTAGCATTACTCAGATGCTACCTTCAGATCTCAAATCCTTGGGGCTTTGAAAAACAAAGGCAGCGCTGTGATTATTTCCAGAAACATGAAAAAATGTCCATGTATGCTGGCCCGCCTTTCTCCTTGTATCCAGCTAGTGAAGGATCTCATTTGAGTAAGATCATAGCAAATGCAATATAATTATGTAGTTTAGGTCCCTTCTGCATGGGGGAGATGACTCATGTGGATTTATTTTGTTTTCCCCACCCAAGATACTTCGTTTGTTGTTAATGGCATTATAATGAACTGACTTATCTACTGAGCTGCAAGCATGTCCATGGTTGGTGATGGCAGAACAACGCAACAGATTATATCAGCAAAGGTTGTTTTCTTTAGTCAAATCATAACCTATGTCTTGTCTCTGTTGTGGAGACATGGAAAGAATTTCCACTGCAGGCAGCTCTTTAAAATGGACAGTGCATCTCTTAAGCGTGCTGTAGTTCAGTGGCCTTTGTTTCTCCTGTTTTGAAGATACTTGCCAGATAGTTTAAGAATGCAAGCACTTTTAGAATACATAGTTGGTGAGATAAGCTTGAGTGTCCTCAAACAAATGGCTTCATTCGCCATCCCCAAATCTATAGCGAGCTGGAGTCTGAATCATAATTTCCAAGTCAGTGTTGAGATGGAAAAAGACAGGAGTCATTTGTTTAACAGTGGAAGAGAGAGAGAAACTGTCATGTCTACATCGGTTTTGAGCATCTCTGC